CAAGCCAGGATGCCATTGGCCCTCTTGGCCACCTGGGCACACTGCTGGCTCATGTTCAGGCAGCTGTCAACCAACACCCCCAGGTCCTTTTCTGCCAGACAGCTCTCCAGCCACTCCTCCCCCAGCCTGTAGCGTTGCGTGGGGTTGTTGTGACCCAAGTGCAGGACCCGGCACTGAGCCTTGTTGAATCTCATGCAGTTGGCCCTGGCCCAACGATCCAGCCTGTCCAGGTCCCTCTGCAGGACCTTCCTACCCTCCAGCAGATCGACACTTCCACCCAACTTGGTGTCGTCTGCAAACTTACTGAGGGTGCACTCGATCCCCTCATCCAGATCATCAATGAAGATATTGAACAGGACCGGCCCCAACACTGAGCCCTGGGGAACACCACTCGTGACTTGCCGCCAACTGGATTTGACTCCATTCACCACCACTCTCTGGGCTCAGACGTCCAGCCAGTTTTTAACCCAACGCAGAGTGCACTTATCCAAGCCGTGAGCAGTCATCTTCTCCAGGAGAATGCTGTGGGAGACAGTCTCAAAGGCCTTACTAAAGCAGACGTACGATGCCCGACTGTAAAAGGCCGGACAGCACTTCCTTACAGAATTTATATCGAACATACCAGTACTGCTCAGGTTCATGAGGGCAGGGCGTTGCTCTGCGGATGAGGGATGACACCTTGTTTGTGGAGGGCATTTCTGTACCTGGAAGTAAAAGCTGAAGACATCAATACTGAAGATATGCCAGGTGTTCAGTCTAGGCAGTGTTTGGAAGTCTTGGTTTATGTCCACTTATATTATTTTTTTATACTTAAAAGACTAATAATCCATATTTTTGCCTAGTGAGCTAAAAATAAGTAAAATGTTCGAAGTATTTTATACCAAATGTCTTTTCTTTGGAAAAGTTAATGACTTTCTGTGTTGTGTGCTATGTTGCTACAACAATGCTGCCTGGAAAACGCCTTTAATAATAAAGCATACGTATTTTTCTTAATGAGCACGCCTAAGATCTTTCCTCCTGAAGTTAGATAGTTATTATTCTATTGTTTAAAAGAGAAACACCAGGCAGTGAGAGGCTAAGAAGCTGTCTGATCAGAGGAGCTGCTTCAAATATCATTAGAAAATGATAGTATTTTAACTGATTATCTTAACTGATAATTCTTTATGCTGTAGAAATGTGCTGGTTACCCACTCAGGACTGTGCCCGCTGTGGCGTGCAGGTGTCAGAGGAAGGAGTTCCCACCCACAGGAACTTGCACCATTAAAGCTGTCGGACGTTGAGCAACTCCTTCGTTCCACCGGCCAGGCGAACGCTGCGCCGGCAGCCTCTCAGCGAAGGAGGGAACCGGTGGTCTGCCGTGCGCAGAACGAACCAAGAAGTATCTCGGGCCATCCCTCATGTCTTTGGATTAAAAATATCCAATGATGAGACTTTATGCTAAGAATATACTTCAAGGGGGTTAATTGATTGGAGAATGATGGAAAATTGAAAAGATTTAATAAATTCTTGTAGGATCCCTCAGGTCGATAGCTTAATGATAATACCCCTGTCTCTATGACTGTGAAGAACATGCTGTGGAAGGCTTACAACTTCCATTAGTCCTTGATAAGCTAATGTATATATCATTAAGGTAAAATGTAAAAAAAGGAAAAAGTAGAGCTGGGTTGAAAAATTGCAAAGCCCAGGGCTATATTGATTCATCATTATTACTGTAATTGCATTTCAGCTGCGTAGAAAATACAATGGCAAATTTCCACAGCTTTGCAGTTTAATACTGTGTCTTTTTTTAGATTACACTGACATTTTCCTCTGGTCATTTCATAACTCTTTCATTTTATTTCTATTTTTTAAATGTGTTTAGAAGTGACGGTCCTTCAGGGTCCCTCAGACCCGCGTGTAAGCAGCGCCCGGGCAGGTTGCTGCCTTTAAACCCTCTGTGACGTCCGTTTGGAAAAAACGAGGGGACAGCAGGTGTGCCTCACCTGGTTCGCGTGTGGGGAAGAAGGTCGCTTGGCCCAGCGACTGCTGCGACTACGGTGCGAGCAGGGGAAAACCAGCTGCCTTTCATGACCGTGTCCTTGTTTCAGCTGAGATAGAGTAAATTTTCTTCTTAGTAGCGGGTACAGCGCTGTGTTTTGGATTTAGTATGAGACTAATGCTGATAACACACGGATGTTTTAGTTGTTGCTGAGCAATGCTTACACTGGTCAAGGACTTTTCAGCTTCCCATGCTCTGCCGGGTGCACAAGGAGTTGGGAGGGGACACGGCCAGGACAGCTGACCCAGACTGGCCCAAGGGCTATTCCATACCATATGACGTCATGACCAGTCTAGAAACTGGGGGCAGAAGAAGGAAGGGGGGGACGTTCAGAGTGATGGCGTTTGTCTTCCCAAGTCACCGTTACGTGTGATGGAGCCCTGCTTCCCTGGCGATGGCTGAGCACCTACCTGCCGATGGGAAGCAGTGAATGAATTCCTTGTTCTGCTTTGCTTGCGTGCGCAGCTTTTGCTTTTCCTATTAAACTGCCTTTATCTCAGCCCATGAGTTTTCCCACTTTTACCCTTCCGATTCTCTCCCCCATCCCACTGTGGGGGAGTGAGCGAGTGGCTGGGTGGTGCTGAGTTGCCGGCTGGGGTTAAACCACAACGCTGTGCAGAAGTGAAGGAGATATTCCAACTGGCCCGCAGGCTGTCATTTGGGACTTTGAGGTGGAATTTGAGAAAATGCAGGAACTGCGGAAACCTCGGTGCTGTTCGGGAAGCAGAACGCCATATTGCAGCATTCGGGACAGACGGACACAGCAAACAGACTGACCTCCGATAGCATGTTCTTGGGGTCGCTCCAGCATTTCAATCCTCCTCTTGGTGCTTCTTGAGCTCCTTGAGCTCCAAAGGCTGCTTTTGTGTCTTCCCACTAGCCGAGTCAGGAGCGTCCTTACCACGCAAACTGCGTCAAGGAGGTTGTTGGTGCGTACCTGTCAAAACGCCACGGTGCTGCCGGAACCGGGGCACTCTTCCCAGCCTTTGACTTGTGACATCTGATAATCTGCCGAGCTACACTCAGCACTGAACAACTCCCTCCCGTCCACGAATCACACCGAGGAAGGATCCTTTTAATAAAAGCTCCTTTTGCAGAAGCTTTCGTCTGGAGAAATTCTCCACTTTGGATCTGATCCGAAGCTTGCTCGCCCAGTAACTTCAGATGCTCCGGATCAAAACCTTGAACGTGGGATTTTTCAGCGGAGCTCAGCGGCCTGCAAGCTGGTTTTAGGATTTGCCTTACCCGTGCCAGAGGGGCCAGCAGTTGTCCTGCACGGCTGGGATCGGAAAGCTGTGATTTGCATCAAGATTTCAGATTTGACTTTTACTGCCGTGAAGTGTTAAAGGTCTCCGGCACGTTGTACGCAGGTGAACGGATGCACTTTTTGGTTGACTTGTTTAATTTCTAGTCATTTGCCAGGTTAAATTTAATTTGTATGCGTACACCTATAATTCCGTAACTCGGTTACACATCCATAGTTAATATCACCAATGTTTTGGGCAGAGGCTCCAATAGTTCGCAGTGCTTTAGGAAATCAAATATATAATGCACAATGGGTAAGGTAACCAAAAAAAACCTCCAAAAAGAGGAATAGTGCTTCAAAACAGCTCGGTGACAGATTCGAAGCCCACTGAGTCACTTGGAGTCTCGCCACCGCTGCTCTGGAGGGAGGTTGGCAGAGGAGGGGAAATAAACAGACGCCTTTGCAAGGGAATCACGTTTCAGTTGCCAAATGTTATCCTCCGCTGAAGAATCGGAGCAAACCTTGGATCTGCCATCATGACTAGAGTTTAGTTCTGGTGTTTTGCAGCGTGTTGGTGCTGGGGCTCCAGCCCCAGGGCCTGACTCGTGTAGGTGATGTTTGAGAAACAGAAATAATAAATCATTCATTTTAAAACGAGTCATTCAAAAGGTATGGCAAAAAAAAAGGTGAAAATGGCAGGTTCGGGACAACCCATCATGGCGTTTGAGGTGCAAATTGATAGCACCCTACCGAACGTGAAAGCCACACAGCCTGCCTGCACTGCCCTCCTGCTGCGGGGGACGTCTCAGTGGGACGAGGATGAAGATGAGGACGAGGATGAGGACGAAGACGAAGACGAGGATGAGGACAGCCATGTCAGCCCGGGCAGTGCCGGGCCGGAGCGGCAAGCGGCTAATGTCCTCCACGGGGCTGCGGGAAGCCCTTCAGCCGTGTGGTACTCTGCCCTCCTGCGGGGTTGTGGGCGCCCCAACGCCAGCGCTTACTGCTGGAAGGCGGGAAGCTGGAATCCCGACCGTCTGGAGCCTGCCAGGGCTTGGGCTGGGGGACCGGGAGCCAGAACCTCATAGAATCATAGAATCGTTAAGGTTGGAAAAGACCCTTAAGATCATCGAGTCCAACTGTCAACCTGTCACTGCCAAGTCCATCACTATACCACGTCCTCGAGCACCACGTCTATCCGTCCTTTAAATCCCTCCAGGGATGGGGACTCAACCACTTCCCTGGGCAGCCTGTTCCAACGCCTGACTACCCTTTTGGTGAAAAGGTTTTTCCTAATATCCAACCTAAACTTCCCCTGGTGCAGCTTGAGGCCGTTTCCTCTCGTCCTATTGCTTGTTACTAGGGAGAAGAGACCGACCCCCACCTCGTTACAGTCCCGTTCCTAATTAGCCACGTGGCAGAGGGCATGGCGTGATTTCTATTTCAGGCTAGTTTACCATCTAAACCTGGACTCCGGCCTAGGTTTAGGAGTTCCCCGTGGTCGGGGAGAGAGCTGGGCCCCTTCAGAGCACCTGCATTAGCGCCAGTCGGTGTGTCCATTGCCCCGTGTCCCTCTGTCCTCCCACAGGCCGGGGGATGCCCGGTGCCCAGGGTTTCGGTGTGGGGTAAGCGTCACTAACCCGACCCCGGCTCAGTATCAACTGCGCTGGCACTAACTGGCGAGAACTCACGTGAGCTCCCTAACGAGAGCCTCAACGGAGGGAAGGGGCGAGGGGAGGCACCGCCTGCGCTGGTGCAATGACGTTTATAACGTCTCCCTTATAAAACAAGGTGACTTATGGAACCAGCCGGCTGCCCTTCCGAGGGAAAACAGCGGCCTCGCAGGCAGAGGCTTTCCTCCCCTCGCAGCCTACCGTTACGGGCCCTAGTGGTAATCACGGAAGCCCAGCCGGAACCCGGCCCGGCGGAACGGCGCGGGGTTTGCTGATTAACACCGCCTATCCGGTTACCGCAACCCAACCGTTTCGGTTTAAGTCGCGGCCATGGCTCCGGTACCTCAGACCCGCAGGCGGGAGCGGTAACTCGCCCTGCCGCGCCAGGCCCCGCCCGCGCCGCCCACTTCCGCTCCGCACCGGAAGGGCCGTTCGGCCGCGGAAGCGCGGGGACGGCGCTGGACGTGGCTGCTCGGTAACGGGGGGCTCGGGCGGCCTGGCGGGGGTTCCTGCGGCCGGGCAGGGTGACCGGGCTGGCGGCGGTGGCTGGGGGGGTGGTGTT